AAAAAAAAAATGATTTTTTAGGAATTTTTTTTTTACTTTTTAACAATGAAAACATATTTTATAACCAACTGTGGAAAAAAATAATCACTTTAATAGACAATTTTCATGTAAACACAAAGTCAAATGAACAGAAAATTTAAAAATTTTATGGGTGGAAAATTATAACAATTAAATACACTTAATTAACAATTCTATCTAAAACAATTTTTAGATAATTACTTTCCTTCGAATTCATTTTCTTCCCTCCACCTCCACCTCCACCTCCACCTCCACCTCGTACCCCAAACCAAATCCAAATTCAAATCCAAGGTTTGGTATTGTGCTTGCTACAAATTAAAGGTTTGGATCAGCCTCCATAAACGTGAAAGATTTGGTATCTTAATGACAATTTTCTGTTTATTTAGACACTATTATTAATAACAAAAAATACTCTCAATAAGATTCAAATTTCAAAGCTGCCTAATAAAAGACTTATTATTGCACTTTTGACTTTGAAATTGAAAATTTTCTTTGGCTTGAAAATTCTTCTGGTTAAAAATGAAAAAATGTTGATCATTGCTCAAATCAGCATTAGCCTATAGACCAGACCAAAACCTAAAAGGCCAAAAACAGTAGGATAACGGCCACTACAACAGCCGTACTCTCCGCCGCAACGTCTGTGATACCCACCCACTAAACGACAAAACCAAACCCCCTCCAAGATCCTACAGTTAAGATTCCCGTACGTGGACGGACTAGATTCTCCCACCTAGCGTGATCCTATTGGCTACCAACCACACCAAACCCTCCTACTTCATGATTGTTTATCCATTTGGCCCTACAACTCTTAATTAAATACCCTCTCATCCCAACACTGTAATGGGACACTTGGCAACAGCTCGATAGAAATTTGTAGCTGCCAAAAACACACACACAATTTCTATCTGTGCTTCTCTCATGTTTTTTCTGTAATTATTTTCTAATTAGTACTTCTTTCGAATTCCTCAATTTGAACCATTAGTCAACTATTGACTTTTACTTAGTGCATCGATTTTTTTTTGACTTGGTGAAATCATGCTGTTTTCTTGATCAGTTTAAGATACTTTTCATGTGGGCTCATTTGCATTGTCTTTCTAATTTTGAATTTCCTCATTTGAATTGAGTTGTGGTGGGCTACTTGAAGATCAGGCATGAATTTGTGGGTGGGGGTGTAACTTGTTTTAGATATATGTGCAGAATTTAATCTTGAAATGTTTAGGTGTTAATTTCTGTCTAATTTCATTGCATTAAGAATTCACAGATACATATGCACATTTACATCAATCTATAGATAGGTGTTGGGGTATGCACAGAGAAAGATAATGAGAGGTTGAGTGTTAGAAGTTAGATTGATCTGGCTTATTTCGGTGATATAGTAAAACAATTGGCTTTAACAGTGTTGTAAGCTGCCAGTTCGATTGGAATGGGGAGTAATTTTAACTTCAAGAATTTTGGAAGTGATCAACCAGTAGATGGAGATGGTGGTGGTGGAAGGCCACCGGGTGATTTTCCTTTGACACGGCAGTCCTCGGTTTATTCATTGACTTTTGATGAGTTCCAAAGCACTATGGGGGGAGTTGGAAAGGATTTTGGGTCATTGAACATGGATGAGTTGCTGAAGAACATATGGAGTGCCGAGGAGAATCAGAACACGGGATCCACTAGTGGAGCTGGTGGCCAAGAAGGGGGTGGCCATTTGCAGCGGCAGGGATCTTTGACGCTTCCACGGACTCTGAGCCAGAAGACAGTTGATGAGGTCTGGAGAGAGATGTCGAAAGAGCATGGTGGCAGTAAGAATGAGAATGGTGGTGTTAATAGCTTGAATATGCCTCAGAGGCAACAAACTTTAGGGGAGATCACACTTGAAGAATTCTTGCTGAAAGCAGGCGTAGTAAGGGAAGATGCCCAGTTTGCTGGAAAGCCTACAAGTATTGGAGTTTTTGATGAGTTACCTGGCAGTAGGAACAATACTGGATTGGGATTTCTCTATCAACAGGCTAACAGGAACGCAGGACTGATGGCTACTAGTATTCCTGAAAGTAGTAATCATATTGCTATGCAGTCTGCTAATTTACCATTGAATGGGAATGGGTTCAGATCTGCTGCACAACAGATGGCTACTAGTATTCCTAAAAGTAGTAATCATATTACTATGCAGTCTGCTAATTTACCATTGAATGGGAATGGGTTCAGATCTGCTGCACAACAGATGGAGAGTCAACAGCAATCGTCACAGCAAGAGCTCCTTCCAAATCAGCCTGCCTTGGCCTATGAAGCTCCCATGGGTAGGAATCAGATTGCTATGCAGTCTGCGATACCATTGAATGTGAATGGGGTGAAAGCTGCAGCACAGCAGCTGGATAGTCAACAACGGCTGGTGCAGCAGAAGCAGCAGTATGAGCTTCTTCCAAAGCAGCCTGCCTTGCCTTATGGAGCTCCCATGGGTATTCCGAGTAGTGGACACTTGAGTAGTCCAGCAACTAGGGGTGGGATTGTTGGAATTTCAGATGCAGTGATGGCTAATAATTTGGTTCCAAGTCCAGGCCTACAGGGTGGAGGGTTGGGGGTGGTTGGTTTAGGAACTGGGGGTGTTTCTGTTGCCACAGGATCTCCAGCTTTTTCATCAGATGGGCTTGCTAAGAGTAATGGTGATACATCTTCTGTATCACCGGTCCCTTATGTGTTTAGTGGCAGTTTACGTGGCAGGAAAGGCGCTGCTTTGGAGAAAGTTGTTGAAAGGAGACAGAGGAGAATGATAAAAAACAGAGAGTCAGCCGCAAGATCACGAGCACGAAAGCAGGTAGATATCTTAATATGGAATACAAATATATTAGTTTGATAGTTTTGCGATAAACATGATGTTTATAAATATGGTGCTTTTTATAGAATTCAAATATATTAGCTCTATAATTTTGAGATAAATGTAAGCTGTTCTTTTCAGGCTCTGTATGCTTCGTTTTTAAATGATCACTCGTGGATTGCATGTCTAGTCCTCATCTAAAAGGTTAAGTTGTTAGAGAGGAGGAACAATTATTTATTTAAAATGTGTCTTCAACACGCCCCCTGCGTTTAGTCCACATTCATTTGTCATCAAAGATATGATACATGCACAGTTTTCATAAATAGGTAGTGGTGAGACTTGAAACTTGGACCTTTGTTTGCTTAGATGTCCCTAATAAGGAAGTTAAAAGGGTCGTTTTTTAATAGTTTTCCATGTTATAAAACTCTGTCCCTTAATGTTCAGATATTTAGATGGCTATGAAATAATTTGTATGATATGATAAGTTTCTAGAAAAGAATATTTAGGTGCGATATAGTGTCCCACCAACCGGAAAATGCTGCATGTGGTATAATGTCCCATAAACTGGAAACAACCACATTCAGGACCTATTTATTTATGCTATTTGTGTTAGTAGTTGTTGTTTGATAACATTATCGCCATTTTATATATCACATTGATTGAGATGCCTTACTATTTCACAACAAAGTGTGATTTCACTTTTCCAATTGAATTAGTTTATTTGGCTTATCAGCACTATATAAAGGGTTCACACACGAGTATAAACCTTTGATAAGTCAATTTTCTTTTCGGGGAATGTATCTTGATTGGTTTTGTAGAATGTGATTTTGACACTGGAAGATTCATAAGTTTAGGTCACATTTCTGTACCTTTGTTGCATTTATGAAGTTCTGATGATCTATACACTTTCATAGGTAACTATTCAATGTGTTAATTTGATTGCATAATGTGGTCCCCTGCACAAGAAGTTTTATTTTGCGTAAAGTAGATTATCAGACCAGACAAAAGACTATATTTAGTTTTCCATCATTAATTAGTACCTATTTTTGCATTGCACCATTTGGAATTGATACATAAATCAATAGTCCCAGGAGACAAATAGAAATAATTGTAAAAAGTTGATGGCGACTCATTATTTTGATGAATAATTTCTTCGGACCAAACCTTGCGTTACATAAAGTTGTCAGAGTACGAGATTTTGAGCACGGGTTTTTCTAGCCCAAGTGTTATTTTCTTTTTGAGAAATAACCTAGATGAATGAAGTTCTAGCTTTTTGTGAATATTTCCGAAAAAACTGAAATCAAATTTGTCTGTTCTACCTCCTTGTAGTAGTTATTGTATCAGCACCACTTATTTGGCTGCACATACAGCAGGAAACTGTCATTTGATAAACCTTTGACATAAAAAGTGAAAGATGTCTCATCTTTATATAGCAGCCACTGTCAAGTATTTAAAGAAAAACTAGTAATTACCCTGCATATGACCTCTTGTCATTTAAAAAAGAAAAATTAAAATTAAGATTGGGATTAATAAATTGAAAGATGCATTTTCTGATTGATATAGGCAGAGAATGGCAAGTATTACTGCAAATCATTAACTTAAAAATTATACACGGATAAGCAGAACAATGATAGCTTTCATCTTCTCGTCAGTTTTTGCGTTGTGGTCATTAGCATTCTGCTTTTATTATCATCTCCCAAACATTACCAAAGACTAGACATTTTATGCAGCAGAATGTAATGTGATAGGGTGTATGTGATAGAGATGAAAGTTTATGACAAGTTTCACTTCTTGAGAAGTTTAAAGGTCTCATTTGCTACAAGGTAACATAGTGTACGCTTAACGATCCCAGAAATTTGTATTGCACATGGACTTATCATACAAATTTAATAATCTCCATCCCTAAAAATCTCGAAGTTTTGTTTTGTCCAAGTATGTTTCTGTTTAGATCATGCATCAACTTTCATTGAGAATTTTCTATGTCGCTTTTCCAGGCATACACAATGGAGTTGGAAGCAGAAATTGCAAAACTGAAGGAGGAAAACCAAGGACTGCAGAACAAACATGTAAATGATCATTTACTTCTCTCCATTTCATCATTCCATTGCAACATGTAACTTATAATTGAGACACCTGTTTCCTGACTTCTTTTCTGCAGGCAGAGATAATGGAAATGAAGAAGAATCAGGTATCTCATTAATTTTTCCTTGTATATCTCCTTAAAATTAATTGCCATGGTATCTTGTTTAGCATTCTTAGCCTTTTTACTAGATAGACATCTCTGTTGCTGTTTTCTATTCTGGCTCAATGTTCAATGTGTCACATTGACTTAATCTTCTTCACTATCTTTTATTCTGATGCATGGAATTTTACATAGAGAAGGGAATGGACTTTCTTTTTTGATAACTTCGTTATCTTGAAAATTCATGAATGGGTATGTTCTCTTTACGAGGTTAAACATATGCTCATTTAAGGATCTCTCTTCTGATGTTCTCTTATCTCTCACACAGAGGGAGAAGGAGAGAAAGATGATAGTAATCGTTGAAAAGCTATTACCTCAACTATGTCTCCACAATTCTTTTGGGTTAACCGTCAAGTTGCATTTTAACTCATTATCTGTCGTGTTTTTCTTAAATAATGTCTGGAAGCCTTTTTCTTGCCATCTTTGCTGACATTGCTGTTGTCCATTAACTGATGCATAAGTTTCCAAGCTAATAGGAAATTTCATATTTACTGAAAATTTTCTATCCCTCTCGTCTTACTTCTGGCATCAGACTCACAACATTGAGCTTAAACAGCCCATCAGACGCATAACCTTGCCAACAAACATTTCATTATTTGACAATTTTTTTTTCTCAGTAACTCTTGGAAACCAAGCTTCTCTGCAGCTGTCCAGACACACTGTTTTCTTGTAGATTTCTGTTACATACAATTACATTGTTAAGAGCCAGCTTATTTAGAGAAGTCTTCTTCAGGATCTCAGATGTAGCTAAATTTTCCATAAATAGCTTCTTTTTATTCTCAGTTGCTTAAGAAGAAGTGAATAAATTTGTATTGGAGAAAATATGCTGGGTAACATCGTTGTTAATCCACCACTTCTTTGGGTTTGAACCCACCAAGTTCACTTCAAAAATTTCGGCTGCTAGCTTATTTTAGACACATTGTGCAATGTCGTCCAACATTTGCTTCTTTCTTGTCCTCTGGAAATTTGCACTTCGAAAACTTATGGCCTACTTTGTTACAATTGAAGTACTTTCCCTAAATTTCTTTTTAGAAACTCCTCCTTTCGATTCCATCTCTCCTTTGCCAGACGGTCCAGACTTGTTGTTGTTAGTTTTATAAGTTTGACCATGCTCCACAACATTAGCTTTAGCCATAGTCAGATAAAACCCCTTCTTTCATAAATTTTGTTGTCTTCTTCCATTCAAAGTCTAACAATTAGCTTTTTACTGTTTATTTCCTTTCGTTTGTACTTTAGGTAATTCTCGATATCCTTTCGAGTCAGAGGTAACTTCTCAATAATAGTATCCACTCAAAAAATTTCACTCAAAACTATTCTCTCGGCATGAATCTTATGCAAGATCACTCAAACTTCTTGTACTCGACTTATCACAATTTTGTACTCAACCATTTTATAATCTAGAAAGTGGCCAATTTCATAATCCCAGTGTCCTCAGTTTTTTATTTTTGATCTAAAGACTCCTAAAATTCCTTATTCGTCTTCCTCGTACTATACATGTTGTACAGTGAATCAACCGAACTATTCATGACATAATTTCTGCACAGGGAATTAGAATGTTTCGAAGCATCAACCGTAGTAATAACTTGTATATCATGCTCACCATCTTTCAGTATAGGACCTCAATCGAGAAACTTTTGAGATTCAAAGTGGTCAAATAAAGTAGCATCTTCTGTTGCTGCCTCTTGAAATTCAACTCCGATTGTTTCCCACGATTAATTGGAATTGTTATAGCAGGGTCAATATCGATACAACGATAGAACTAGTAGTAAGTTGAGCACCAGGCTTCTGCTCCAACTCCAACAAACTGAACCTTGTCTAAACACTAACATCAATAACTGGGAAACTCTAAGAACCCTAACCGAAAGAAATGATTTAATTATAAACTCCATTAGGGCGCATTAATTTCCATTTAACAAGGCTCAATATCCATGTCCGCGGGTCATGCTTGCATATGAGTTCTATGGCGCAATGTGCAAATCCGATCCTTAATTTGCTCCCCACTGTGCGCGCATATAACTTGAGCTTGTGCTAATCCCATAAAGTTATGCTAAAACACAACCATTTTCCAACAGTATTTCGTAACTTGCACATTGCTTGAGCTTGTGATGTCAAGGAATCGCGACTGCCCCATACTCAGTATTTAATGGGAAGCAGGAGTTGATTGGACCATGTCGCATATTATGCTGCTTGCATAGTGGCATGCATGGTCTTGACTCTGTTTGCAATGGTGAACCCATCATTGCAGGGGCATACTGTTGGAATACATGCTGGCTCCTTGCCAAAACGAATTTGGTCGCATGTTGTGTTGATTGCTCACTGACTGAATTTGCGGATGTGGCCGTGAATTTATGCATGTGTGTGTGATAATACTAGTACTGATTTTACATCCATGTAAAAGTGATCCTCGTAAGTTACATTTGGTGTCTGCAGGTTCTGGAGATGATGAAGCAGCAGAATGGAGCAAAACGACGATGCTTGAGACGTACACAGACAGGGCCATGGTAAGTGCATTTGTAACTGACGCATCCTTGGGGGCATATCTCGATCACTGTAAAAAGAGTAGTGTTTGCTGTAAACTATTCGTTGTTTTGTAGATCTTTTCTTTGTTTTTCCTTCGATTTTGCGCTTGTGTGCGCAAAATATGTAGGTAGACTGGTAGACCCAAACAACTTACAATACGATGAATTATATTACTTATTTCATTGTACATACTTGTCAAGTCATAGGCTTTATGCCTTTACACATATATACATCTACCGTGTCAAAACAGTTCGTTATTTTTAAGGACATGTTTAGGTTCGTCTTTTTATTTTTTTACGGAGTCTGAGCTTGCAACTTTTAACTTGTATTATTTTGGTTCTTTTAAAATTGTCAGTTTTAATTAATAGACTTTTTGGCCATTGTAATATGAAAAACCACCCGTCATTTTAGCATTCGACATAATAATCAGAATATCAATCTTTTGACACAGATTAATTGAGATTATAACAGTAAGAAATAACTTGTTTCACACATTATGGGACAGCGTATGAGCTTGATAACGCAACATGAAAGCTGACCAAGCAGGAAATTGTGCGTTCTCAGATCTTTAACGTGGATATCAAGAATGATTTAGTTCACAACAGATGAATATGATTTTAGCATATGAGCCATTGAAGTAATACATTATGATTGACAAAACCAAAAATAGCTGGGTTACGAGAAGAATAGTGCAGCTAAAAACAAGTTTTTGAGGTCATCCACAGTATTCACATGAAAAGCTTCTTAAGCAGTATCATGCGACCACAGCAAGCAGGATGCAGAAGTCTTGAGGCGAATATTTAACCCCCGAATAGTATCCTAGCAAGGATAACCTGAGGTACACGTGTTGCCTTTCCATGAAAGCATTTTTCTACGATCCCTACCTCTAAAGGATCGAGTGACAAGCGTACCACTTGTGGGCTTGCACAAACCAACATCAATCACTGAAGCACTCTCTTTCTTCCCAGAAGATAGATCCCCATCATCCATGTACAAGTCAAACAGCATTGCAAGAGAACGCACTTGATGACCTAGAACCATATTTTCTTCATCAAAAGGTATCATCTTTATGATGTGAACATTGACCTGCAAACAGAGAAAACCATCTCATGCAATAATTCCCAAACCATGCATGCCACAGAATTAAGCAAGCATGCTACTGTTTAAACACTTGTCACAGCAAAACATAATTGCACACATAGCAAATGATATACAGCTTGTTTGGGAGGAATTTTAATCCAATTAAAATTGAAAATTGAAAATATAGTCGTTATTGGGTCCCACTCGTCTAATAAAAGTCAACAATAACGACTAATTTTTCAATTTTAATCCGATTCTATCAAACCATGCATACCACAAAATTAAGCAAGCATGCTACTGTTTAAACACTTGTCACAGCAAAACATAATTGTACACATAGCAAATGATATACTCTCAACTCCTCAAATTATGAATGCCAAGTACTTCTTAATTATGCAAAAAAATAACTACGGGCACACTATGGAATAAAAAATATGGCATAGAAACGCCTCTAATGCTTACAAAGTCATTGCACTTAAACTCTGAGACTCGCACAAAGGATTATTGAATTGACAGATGCTTACCTCTGCCTCCATTGCACGAAGTTCATTATACCGCTCAGCACCATCCACCTCAGAATAGTTCTCTCCATGTGAAAAATATAGACTCAGTCTAAAATGAGGAGGCCTAAGAGGATACTCCATGCTTATCTTAACCTGACAAAGGGAAATTTTAAAGCATCGGCTCTCAGTCAACAGATAGTCAGAAAACAGAATAAATATTGAAAACAAAGTGTAGTTCTACATTGGCTTCTAATTTCATCTTCGTTTCATCATTGTCCAACTTTCTGATTAGCACAAGACTATATTCCTGGAACCCACAGTTTGTCCATGAGTTATCAACCATCTCAAGTCCTCCCATTGTGGATGCACTCTCAGACTCCTCCATTTGTACTGGCTCATCCAGTTCATTTTCAGATTCCAGCATGAGATCAACATCATCCTCATGCTTCTTAAAACTTGGTGATTTCCCCTTGTTCACAGGAGAGGCGATACTCTTTGTAATCAAATGCAGCTTTCTGAAGTCCTCAAGCTCAGATCCTTTTGATGGGGTAGATCTAATATCATTAAAAACACTAGCAACTGGAAGCAAAGATGGAAGCTCCCCATCCTCTGTTGTGGCCTCCACATCTTCTCTTGATATACCAGATTTTCCATCTGCATCTATACCTAGAGGGTCCTGAACTTGTTCCACGTTAGTGAGAAGCAAAGATGAAGACTTATTACTTGCAGCAGCAGTCATCCGTGACCAACTCTGGAGGCTGCAATGCGGGGTACGAGAGGCCCATGGAACACTTTCGCAGGACAAAGTTGGCCATTTAAGCTTCATTAGTGAATCAAGTTGTTCCCTGTTAGTCAATGAAGATTTCTGAGTTATAAAAAAATGTATGCCTAAATGGGTAAGAAATTAATAATAAACCGCCAGGAATAATAATCAAACAAGAATGAAGAAAAATATACACGATGGATTTAAATAAAGGAAAAAATCATGACCCCAATATTCTTTAGAAAGACAAGCATACAAGAACAAAATCAGCTATTAAAGAATTGGAGCAAGGCTTGCAGCATGGCCCTCCAAAACACAAGTAGAACAGATGTCACAATTGTCAACTCCCTTCTACTATCAGAAAGAAACTACACACCTATTTCTAAACTAAACACCATTTTACTTCTTAAACTATATTATTCTCTTTAAAATATAGAAGTTACAGAAAACAATATTCTTTCATTGTTCTTACTATTTTTTAAAAGATTTTTTTATGAAATGTTATCTAAAGTAAAAGAAAACATTCATTGAGTATGCCAAAAGAGCTGGTCCTGAAAGATGCTCCAGCCTTCAAAACTAAGCTGAAGAAGGTGCAATATTGTTTTGACTATATTGTGCATCTGCCTATAACAAACATTCTTTCTTAATAATCAATGACTATAACAAACATATAGGGCAGAGACTTACGCAAGGGCCAGCTGAGCCTTTTTTCGAGCACGTATCCTTTGAACAACTGTCTGCACCCTGTTCTGCCGACGATATAATGACAAACCAGACAATATAGCAGCATGCTTCGCAGCATCGTTATTTAAGGTATCGGGGACTGTAACAAGTGGTGACGCCTCTGGCAAGAAATCAATACCGGCCAAATGCTGGGCCCATTTGTATGGCCGCGAAGTTCTCCTTTCATCAAATGATAGAGAATCACCAATGCAGAGCTTTGCTGACTGCAAAAAATTGCAGAATTTTTAATTAAATGGGAATGTGAATGCATTAAATTCATTGCATACCACAATCAAGAACTAAAACCTGGTGAGGGAGCTCAAATCCAGTGTCGTTGGGAAATAAGTTGCATAAGATATTATTATCAGGACCTTCTTCAGAGCCTTCCACTCCTACGCAAACAACACTCAATTTCACTAGGAATTCAAACTTCAAAGTGATGAGTTTTGTCGAGTTGGAATCCGAAGCCTTATCATCATTTATATGGAGGGTAATTTTAAGTGGATGAGTTTGATATATTCCAGACTGATCAAGATTCTCCTTGCTTGGGATTTTCTTTGGCCGTTTTCTCCTTCTTTGGCCATCGTCTTCCTCATCAGGTACATCATCCTCTAACTTGGAATTTTCTAAGCTAGTTGCTATGCCTGAGCCATTACAATATGAAATTTCATAAAAAAGATTAAAGTTAGCTAGCAGTGATATTACACAAGTACCAAGCATCTAAGAATACAGATATAATCAGTACCAGTATTTTTGGTTGCCAGCTGGCGGGCAAAAGCTTGTGCATCCTTTACACTTCCAATAATCTCGAGATCAACATCCTCTCCGAAAGCTTCCTTTTGGGCAAGTAATTGAGAGTAAATGACATATAAAGGAGGTGGAAGCAACTCTGCTAATTGCTGCTGCTTCAATTTCTTTGTGTGCAGAACCCCTAATTGATGCTGCACGGGCAAGGACGCTTTCTTCAGTGCTTTAAGGTGGGAAGGAAGACTTGATAAGAATTTCTTCCTGTTATTGATAGTCTCTTGGAGAACTTTCTTTTGTTGTTCCAATTTCTCACAAAGTTCGCATAATTCTTTACGCTGATACAACATATACTTCAGTACTTCAGAATTGTGCTTCAGTAGTAATCCAACACCCATACACACACAGGTTCTCAAACAGAGAAAGGTGCATCTACCATAATATAGCAATTATATACTCATTCATTTAATGGAGTAAGATGAAGGAAACACTGTTTTCAGAACCAACCTTCCTACAACAGAAGAAAGTCAAGAAAAATAATTCATTCATTACATGCAGCAAAACCTCCACTATCAAAAAGCCAAACATAAGATGAATTTTTTCGTACCTAAAAAATCCACAGAAAATCAGCGCTTTTTTGATGAATATTTTAACTAGATATGCAATTTCAGTGAACAAATTTTAATAACCAACGCCTCTAATAGAATATTATTTCGATCGGTTCTCACAAATCTCTCAAGAGAACCCAGATTACCTGGCGTAGTTCATAATTGAGCCTTTTAAGCATCAAGTTGTGAGCACTGTCACTTGATATTACAGAGTTTTTAATGTCTTCTGGTGCATCTCTGAGGAACTCTTCCTCAGGTACAAGTTCGATGTCAGGATATTTAGTTTTGAAGTCTTTGCAAGCTTTTATTGCTTTAACATAGTGATTTTTCTCGTACGTCAAGTTGTGGAGCTGCAAGGTTGTGAAATCCACAGGGGGTTTAGCACGTTCTGTTTCTGCTTTCACACGATCTTCTTCAAGCAAAATGGACCTGTTAGCCTGTTAGAGAACAATGTAAGCCACAGCCCACATGGAGTACCTAGCATCTGTACTTAAGCTCAGCCAGCAAGAAGTAATATCATTCCTAAAGCGTGAAAGGGAAGTGGAAAGAGGGAATGAAGCAGTGCAACAATGAAGCAAAGATTTATTAAGATAATTTTTCTGATTCCTATTGACTTGGCAGCAAGATGCTAACTCAAGAAAAAGTTCAGCATATGAAAACAGACGCACCTCTATCCATAGAAGTTTCTGTTTCTTTGAGACTAACAGCAGGTAAACTTTTATCTCATAGAGAAATAGTATCGAATAACTATATACTACATTCAAAATTTTTCACAACTGAACTCCAATGTAATAACAATATTAAAATACTCACTAAAGTAGAGGAAAACCAACTTTTCAAAATCAAATTACCAAAACACCAGTAAGTATGGTGAAAAATTAAGATTACTAAATGAAGTGAAATATGGCTACTTAAAAAGAATTAAACCACCATCTGTTTCTTTTTCAATACAAATAATATTTGTAATCCTACTAAAAAATGTAATGAACAAGCACCCAGCGAAAAAATAAAAAGAAATGGAAACACAACAGATAGGAGATACAAGTTCAAATCAGAAGTTACAGAGATCAGCATTTAAGCACACTCCTGTGCATATGCACAAATCCAGAGCTTGAATTAGGGATGTAAAGTACCTTCACACAAACTGAAGTCAAATCACATTTCCCGTGTTAATGCTCTAGTTCATCATTTCACCAAGTAAAATATCATGAATTAATTGTACAATTTGTTTAACACAGTGAATCACAGAAATTCCCTTACGCTTGTATTTCCTATCTCCCCGTTAAATCCCCATTATGTGCATGCCAAAAATAATTACATTTGGAGAAAGAGTAAGATAAAAATAAAAACCTCCAGTTTCTACCCATAATTTAAAATTATTTCTTCAAAATTCTCAGAGAAACCCCAAATCTGGCACTACTTTTAATCGAGAATCATATACATTTATATTCAATAAGCCACAAAAAAAGAAAAAAAAATCACAACCCTACCAACGCTAAAGAAACTCAATATGTTATTTAACACCCACGCAAGCACATATATAGGGAAACACCTGCCGGAGGGTGATGAAATTAAGGAGAATTTGAGTGACGAGTTCCCGGAGCTGGGTTTTGGGCTGGGCTTCTTTCTTGATGGCGAGCATCTTGGAAACGATTTCCTCAACCGAAGACTTACTCTCTCGCAACATGTCGTAAAGTGCCGCCATGTCTATCTTGCGCTCCGGCAGTATTTCGCCGGGTTCTGCCATCTTCACTTCCACTTCAAATGCGATTTGCGTTGTTTCTCTTTCCTCTTTTCGTATCCTATGTACTTTGCTAGTCTGCTGCCGGTTCTCTAGTTCTTGTTCCGGTCGGCCTATCGGATGAGGCTATCTTATTGAACCGACGCCCTAGAAAAGAAAATTTTCAATTGGAGACCTCAATCTATTAGATCTGTCGTATATTGATCCTCAAACTTGAAAACGGAGTATTTATGTAAGGGAAATTGGCGTAAATGGTCCCAAATTATAGCTGAAATTATGTTTTGATCCAATATTTTAAAATGTGGCGAACATTGTCCCGAACTTTCAATTTTCGCGCTTAATGGTCCTTTTGACGGACTACATCCCAACTCCCAAGGGCGTTTGTTCTATGCTTGCAATGCAACTTTTGACATTTTAAAAAGGAATGACTATAAATTTAAGTACTTTTTTTTTTTGAAAAAATAAATTTAAGTACTTATATTTTACAATAATGATGGGTGTACAATGCCCCTTTCACAAAAGTTCTACAGGAAAATTTAAAAAGGTGACATGGAGGCCAAATGGGAGGGGAAAAAAAAAGAAAGAGGGAAGACGAGACCCAGCCATTTTGTGATTCCTCTTTCTTTCCCCAAAATGGAAGTCCGAATCTCGTGAACAATCCCGCAGCTCCAAAACCTGCATCACAAAATTCCATCACAAAATTCAGTCTCCACCGAACGGCTCCATTTCCTCATTGCCGTGAAGGTCGACGAGATCGAGAAAATCCACTAAAAATCCACTTCGACCCGTGTATGGTGTGTTAAGAGGAAAGAAGACGAGAGTCCAACTATTTTCCTTTTTGAAAACCGTAGATCCATTTCCTTTTTTGAAAACCCGTAGCTCTATTTCCTCATTGCCGACGAGATCGAGAAAATCCAATCCAACCCGCATACGGTGCGTTATGTAGATTTGTTTTGTAGTATGCATTTTTTATTTGTATGCCTTATGTATTGCTATTCAAAAAATTGTAAATGGAATAATGTCGCCTTCGTGTTTGCTCAATATTATCAATTATTTGGTAACAGGACATTACACTATGGGAGAAATGAATGAAGTTCCTTCCGTGTAGTCCGATAATGAGATAGTTGTTGACAATATCAACACTGTGGACAATGAACCGTTAGGAGGAGATGGAGAGCTTGTGCTTGTGGTATGTATGATATTCACGAATGAACAAGAGATGTTTGATTTTTACAAGAGATATGCTTACGCAGTTCGCTTCCCCGTGAGGAGAAGGAATTCGAAAAATGACGATGATGGAGTTGTTAGGCATGTGACGTTAACATGTAGTCATGAAGGTCGAATAAGCAGTAATGCAACCAATATTTTGAAGCCACAACCAACAACTCAAACAGATTGTAAAGCGAGGAATTCTGCTTCAACGGTTGGAGCTGGAGATGTTAGTATGGCGTCTGGGGATGTAGATGATGGCCAGATGTGGAATGCGACGGCTTGAGGTGGAGGTGGTTTCCGAGGGTTAAAATTGACAAAAAGGGGAAGTCCGTGATACAATTTAAATTTGGGGTTCTATGTCACAGCCGCTTCGTGGACGCCGACGCCGAACGGAGTTGAAGCAAGTGCCACTTCAGACGATTTCTAGGAAATGAATTGTTTGTCTTAATAAATCATTTGCCATGTCATTCTGTGAAAACTCTGTGAAACTCCTTCAGTACGTGTAGCGCGACCTTATATTTTAAGCTCAGCCAAGCATGATATTTACTTTTCAAATCCAGTCAAATTTGCAGGCGCGACAAAGAAAGACAGATCCCCAATTTTAGCAACATAGAAGAGAATCCCACTAAATTTGGCTTGACATCATGATTAGAATTAAGACCCCTTCTGGTCTTCCTTGACACTCTCAAACTCCAAATATCCTTGTTTTTTTTTTTTAACGTAAATCCACACAAAAAGCACATGAAAAAGACACCATTTTTGTACTCAGCCATCACACAGATTAAGGTAGCTTTCTGCTTCCTCCGCCTCTCTCTTGAAAATGCCAGAGCTGGGCATTCAAGATTTGAGATCGGGCTTCAGGACCCGAGATACGAGCCCGGATTCTGTAATTTTCACTGGAGAATCAAACTTCAGCATCTTCTCCTCTGCTTCTGTTAGTGTGGAATGCTGCTCTTTCGCCTCTGATGTACATGATCAAAATTCTCTTGCTTCTGAAGTTTCTCAAGTAATACTATTCACTTCCTCTCATTTCTTGTTTTATCCTAAATTTTTCTGCAAATGCATTTTCTGGGTATACATTCGTGTGTTTTTTTCTATATTTTGATGGGTTTGACTTTAGCATTTAATGGATTCTGATGATATAGCGAAATTTGTTTAAAACTCGGAAAATGTCTAGTTCGATGGAATTGAAAAGTTGAAATCTTCGATTTGAAACAGCATTTGGCATGGCATCAGTTTTCTGAGTCATCTAGTAGTCCAGATCCAGATCCAAACAAATTAACACTATTGCTAAAAAATAATGATAACCTCAGCAGAATGCAAAAGGCTAAAGGTACTGCTCACTCATTGTTAAAGATTTGGCTCTAGATCAGATGGATATTGTCATTATTTCAAATTTTGATTCACGTGACTTACTGTTTTCCCTCAAATTCGATTTATACACAGTTCACAAATTAGATAGCAGTGAAGCTGAGACGACTGAGGATGAAAATCTAGTCCTAGATTCTGCAAGAAGTTCATTCTCTCTAGCACTTAAAGGTACCATTTTTAATGCCATTGCCCATTTCGAGAGAACTCTGTTTTATTTGATTATATTGTGATTTCCTTGGTGGGCTATTTGATTTAGAGTGTCAAGACCGGAGGTCAAGATCTGAAGCATTGTTGAAGAAGGCAGACAGAAGAAGGCCTGCTTCTTTCGATCTGAACAATTCTGCGATCAATGTTGCAAATTCCTCTTCGCCTCGATATGGATTTGTGAAGAAACCATCTGTTATGACTTGCCAGACTGGTACATTTCCAAGCCCTGGAACGCCTAATTATCAACACGTGAGTTTGATGCAGAAGGGTTGGAGTTCTGAACGTGTTCCATTGCATGCAAATGCAAAGAGGAGACAAGTGAATACTGTGTTGCCTTACAATAGTGGAAGGACATTACCTTCAAAATGGGAAGATGCAGAGAGATGGATTTTTAGTCCAATGACTGGAGATGGTGCTGTGAAACCATCAGTTCAGCAGCCACAGAGGCGTCCCAAATCAAAAAGCGGGCCACTTGGGCCTCCTGGTGTTGCTTACTATCAATTGTTTTCTTCTGCTGCACCCACGATTGGAGGAGGGAATGCTGGGAAATTAGTTGCAAATTCTCCATTCTCGGCTGGCGTAATGGCTGCAGATGGTTTATCAATTCAATATGGAGGCAGTGGAAATGTCCCCATAGGTACAGACCCTTGCATGGAAAGATCAATTAGCATACATGGATGCTCTGAAATGCGGAGGCAATCACCGTTCCCTAGCCACCAAGGTACAATTTTACTTATTATGTGTTGTTGCTATCCAAAAGTTTATGTTCATACCAATCATTTCTTTTATGTTTCCTAAACTCTAGTTTGTTATCATCATGTCCAATGCTATATTTCAAGAACATAACTATCGACATTGCATGAGTTAACATCANTTTTTTTTTTTGTTTTTTTGGTCAATGCTACTACTTAAGTAAGAAAATTCTGGCTTGCTTGAGAATTTAATTTGTTTACAATTCGATATTGTCCGTAATCAGTCATGCACCTCTCTTCATCCTTATTGCTGCGTCAAAGGACTTTGATTATAATTGGTAGTATATCCCAGTCACTAGATTACATAAATGTTTTTTGATTCTGGCGAGTTCTTATTCGAGTTTAATGTACAGGCAAGAAATATGATGGTATTGGCCATACTGCAGACAGCATATCCTGTGCTGTTTCAAGGAGGGATATGGCGACTCAGATGAGTCCTGAGAGTGATACCCAGTCTTCATCTGGGAGAAAGTCATCATTCTCTTTAGCAACCCCGTCAATCCAACCCATTTTAGAGTTACAGACTGTTCAATCCTCTAAACCAGAAATCAGGGACGTGTCAGTTGATGAACGTGTCAATGTGACTAGATGGTCTAAGAAGCACAGGAGTCGAATTCAGGGAAAGGGCTGCAAAAATGCAGATGACTGGAAAATAAAAGCTGCTGAGATTCGTTCTTCTAGTTGGGAAGTTTCAGATTTGTCTAAGAGTATTTCCAAGTAACTTTTTTCTTCCAATATCTTATTCTCTTGAGGTTGTCTTCAATATTTACACAAAGTAGAGCTGGCAGTTCTTACATTGAAGAGGACATTGAACGTTTAAAATTGAAGGAAGTCATGACTAAAAAAGACAAATTAATGATCTTATTATAACCAACGTTCAAATGCTAGAGCATGGAATCTTAATTAAGGATTGATTACTTCCCTAATAAATTACCTGCTCAAAAAGTCACCCCTTCATTCAATTGGCCGTTAAATTTTCCATCTTCAAAGGTTTCAGCAATATGTTTTACTTCTTTTCCCTGACTGTAAAGTTTGTATTTTTCATTTTTTATTGTATTCTTAGAAATTGTAATTTGTAAATATGCACAAAATCAAACCTCTGATAAACGTATCCATTCTATGGAAGTAGACAAAATGCAGTGTTTATTTTTAATCACTTATTAGGATCACTGTTCATTTCAGTATTAAGCGGGAGGAAGCTAAAATTACTGCCTGGGAGAACATGCAGAAAGCAAAAGCTGAGGCTGCAATAAGGAAGCTAGAGGTACTCCCTGACTGTCCCCCTTTTTGGCTATTAGGAAATAGAAATATGCGGATTTTCTGTTCTATCTACTCATTCTAATACAAATTCAGGTGAAGTCTATGAAATACCCTATAAGATATAGATATGAATTTCTGTTTCTCTGGTGATGAAAAGCAAATAAAATAAAACTCCACATCGACGAGCCAGTTTCAAGAATTAAAAAACTAAAAGTTGCTTTACTTATCCGGTAAGTACAAGGATTATACACATGCTTTTTCAAGTTATTCCGGTGAATAGTACAAGGATTATGCACACATATGTTTTATTAATTCAGTTCTGTTTCTAAGATAGATGGTCTTCTGCTTGGTGCACTATAAAAATAAGGAAAGAATGTAATGATTTGACCCATTTCAGATGAAATTGGAAAAGAAGAGGTCATCATCCATGGACAAAATTGTGAAGAAATTGAGATCAGCACAAAAGAAGGCGCAAGAAATGAGAAGCGCGGCATTAGCCAACCAGGCCATTCCAGTTTCAAGAACCTCTAGTAAATCCATATCTTTCCGACGAACTCGTCCGATAGGTTCATTCAGCAGTTGCTTCACCTGTCATGCATTTTAGGTGCATCCTTCAGCAACCTTCGGTTTGGCTAAAACAAGTTTCCAAATTTCAGGTATCTTTGGTTTATCACATTGTGAAAGACGAAACCAAAGGATAAAGAGAAAAGTGGTAATACCGTGAAAGTTGGGTGTGATACTGATTCATTGAATTCCAGTTGAAGTAATGTGTGCTTATGCTATGACAGGAAATTTCATAGTAGTAGTGATATGTGGTGTTTTTGAAGTGTGGAAGTAAAGTCTGGAAAGGGTGTTCGATAAATACTTGAAAGACTAGTGCAAGTTTGTAGTTACCGAGATTAGTTTCTGGATTGATCCATCCAGGCAGAAATGAGGTGAGGATGAGACGAAAGTGTGAAAGGTGTGCAATACCGTATTGACACTGAGTGAAGTTGATTGAGCAATCTTCGGTAGTTTGTGATTCATTCAGGTATTGGGATCTTCTGTTCTGTTGTCGATCCTTTAATGGATAGTGATATTTGTATAAATGTATGTTTATTGCCTTGATTTTTGTTAGATATTTTTTCATCGTTTTGCATGTTCATCTTTTTTTCCAAATGTTTTGCCGCCCCGACTAGTGTTTGCCGCTACGTCCGAAAGAGAATTTTATTTTCAGAAGTCTTTGAATAGGCATGTTTCTTCCGATATATGCGTTCATTTATTTCAAGGAACACACCTATTCAAATGGTTGCCTCCATTTCTATATATTTCTTTATTATGTTCTTTCTGATCCTCTCCTACAAATATAAGGGTAAATTAACATATTTCTTTATTTCAAGATTGTTTCCCAAATAATCTTTGAAAGTATATGGTTC